TGGGGCGAAGGGGTCAGATGTGCGACACACGGGCCATACATATGCGTATGTTTGTCTTTGCGTGTGTGTGTGTGTGTGTGTGTGTGTATGTGTGTGTATGTGTGTGTGTGCGTGCGTGTGCGTGCGTGCGTGCGTCGGTGCATGTGCCCGTCGGCGCGCGCACCTCTTGACGTAGTTGAAGTTCTGCACCCGTTTGGCGGCCACATGCTGGACGGCCTGCGGCGGCGCCAGGTGCAGCCCCGCGGCGTAGAACTCCTCCATGGATGCGCAGCGAAAGAGGAGCGAGAAGAGGAGGAGGGGGGGGGGGAGGAAGGCGAAGAGGCAAGTCGGGCGGGCTTGAGAGGGGATCAAGACAGGTAGTGGGGGGGGGGGATCAGACGGAGAGAATATATGTGGTGCGAGCAGCCGACAAGGAGGGGAGGCATGCCCTGGGCGCTGTGGCGCCCTCGGGGTGCAAGGCGGCCGGTCAAAAATCACAGCACCCTTGCCCTAGCGGGGACGCGACCGAGCAAGGGGCATTGCTCGTATGCCTGGCCCGCTGGGGCGCAGGACCCGAGGGCACGCACAACAACAACTGGTGGGAGCCAGGGGGAGGGGCGCGCCCCGCCCGCCAGCCCGGCTCCCGCACCCAGGGGGAAACGGAGGGGGAAATAATATCAGGGGTACCTGGTGCCAACGGACTGCCGGTGATCGGCCCAAGTTTCGGAGAGCCGAAAAAAGCCCAGACCAAGCCCCGGGCAAAAGGAACCAGGACGACCCCACATGCCAACACGGGGGGCGAGAGCCAGGGCAGGGCACGGGGAGAAAGAAAGAAAGAAAGAGAGAGAGAGAGAGAGGGTGCTTTTATTGGGCCCTCATAGCGCCTCCAGGCCCGGTGTACAGGTCGTCAGCACGGGATGAGCACAGGCACACACACACACACACGGACACATAGACACACGGAGTCGCAGAGCAGACGCAGGCAAAAGGTGGCCGGCCATCTTTTGCCAAGGGGGCGAGAGGAGGGCCATGTACCCATCATGGCAAGGCGCAGGCACGCACGCGCACCAAGATATCCATGCCGACCGGGCAGACACGCAGGCACACCTCAGTCCTCCTTCAGGCGCTCCCGCACAACGGAATGGTACCAGGGGCTGATCATCACCCGGTAGATGCCGATGATGGCCACCAGCCCCAGGATGAAGGAGGTGATGAAGGTCAAGATGATGGAGCTGATCGGCCAGTTGCTCATGTACGAGGCGGCCACAACATTGGCCTGGGTGTGGGTCTCGATCTCGGTGCGCGTGGGGATCTTGGACTCCGGCCGGGCGAGCGAGTCACTGGAGGAGGCCTTCGGGTCGGCGGCCCGGTTCTCGGTGCCAGCCGCCGTGGGCGAGGGAGTCGGCGCATTCCGGGCCAGATCCTTGTTAATCTGGGCCACGACTTCCTCCACAGACATGAGGTTGGCATTGGCGGCCGTGGCCTTGAAGAAGGAGTTCCCCGCGAGCCAGCTGCAACAGAGACACGGTCAATCGGCATCGGGCACGCAGGCAAGGGAACGTGCGGGAGGATGGGTCGCCCAGGAGAGAGACAGAGAGAGAGAGAGAGAGAAAGAAAGAGCACACGAGCGGGGAGGAGGTCGGAGGGAGGATGAGCCGGCAGGGAGGCGGAAATGGAGAGGCCCTCACAAGATCAGGGCAAAAGACCGAGCAGCGGAGGGAGGAGGGGACACCCGTCGAGGAGACGCACCTGTACGACCCATGCATGCGAAGGGGCGAGCTGAGTGACACGCGAACGGGAACAAACTCATCACGAACTGCCACCCACATCCCCACATGTCAGTCAAAGGCAAAGGGCCAGCAGGAGGGCAAGCAAAGTGATCGGCAGAGCTCGGCAACCGGCGCGAAGCGAGACATCAAACACATACCCGGGTATGCCGTGGCGCCGAGGATGAACCCATCGTAAATGTGGAAAAGCCAATTTGCCCGGGTGTTCACATGCAGAACCTGGCCTTTGCTCAGGCCGGGATGGAAGGCCGACAGCTGGGCCGGCTCGGCCTCGAGCTGGCGCGACTCGAACCACACCGGCAAAATCAGCGGCAGGTACGAGTGCCGATCCCAAGTCATGGGAATGCGGCACTCGATATGCTCTAACGCCGGCGACCCAGATGACCAAGCAGGCGGTGAAGGCGGGGGGGGGGGAGTCAGAAAGGGGGCGCCATTCGAGAAAGAGGCAAAAGAAAAAAAAAGAAAGAAGAAGAAGAGCAGGCACCCTTGGCCATGAGGATGCGAACGGCCTCCTGGCGGATGGCCGGCGGCAGGGTGAACTTGCAATCATATGTGCCCTCCTTGCCGACGATGAAGGAGAGGGGCTCAAGTCGGTCGTCCTCCTGTGGCCGGCGAAGTGCAGGTGGCAGTTTGTCAGTGAGCAAGAAGCGGGGAGCAGCGGGGAAGGGGGGAAGAGGCAGGTGCAACGCGAAAGCAGGCACATGGGGATACGTACGCCCATGCAAAGGGGGAAGAAGTTCCACATGCGGCTGTTCGGGAGCTTGCACTCAATGGACACCCGTTCTCCGATCATGAACTCTGGGGCACGGGAGACGGATTAGAGCTCGGACGGCAGAGGGGCACAGGTCGGGAGGGAGCGGCAAGCGGCAGGCCCGGGAACGTACGCTTGTGATGCCCGGCCGAGTGGACCTGAGCATGAACATGCCCATGTCCTGGGGCCCGTGATGCACGGGCAAGAGCCGAAGGCCAACCGGAGGGGGAAGCATCGTCAGCAGGCGCCACAGCGGGGAGGGGCCCCAGGAGGGTAGATGGGAGCACGAGCAAGGGGAAGAGGGAGGAGCATGCCTCGGCGCACCATGATGATGGCCATGCCCGTGGCCGTGGCCGTGGCCGTGGCCGTGGCCGTGGCCGTGGCCGTGACCGTGGGCCTGCTGCTGTTGCCGCTGCTGATTCGCATGGGTATGGACATGGGCCGAAGCCACGGGGGGCTTCTGGCCAGTCGCCTGGCCATGAACCAGCTGCGACGATGCCAGCAGCAGCAACAAGCCGGACGCTAGGAGAACCAACCGGGCGAGGGGGGTCGTCGACCGCGACAGCATCGTGAAGCGGTGTCGGTGGGCGGGGAGAGGGCCGAGACAGAGAGAGGAGGGCAAAAAAAAGAAAAGGGGCGGCGGGGGGAGAGGGAGAGAGGCGGCGGAATATGCGAGGGGAGCAGGGGGGAGAAGGAGCCGACTAGCTGGGACTCCGGCCAGGGGCTCGGGATGCTGGATGAAAAGGGGCCGTCGCAGGCGATCTCCATCGGGTACACACACACGCACACACGCACACACACACACGCACACACCAGAAATGACCAAGACTCCCCTCCTGGAAGCCACCAAAGTGCATCCAAGGGCGGGGGGGGGCGTGCGCGGAACAGCCCCGCCCCCCTCTCGCCTTGTCGGACGCCATTGTCCCTGGGTTCGGCTTGCCGCCCTCGCTTGCGTCGGGCAGCCGCCGCCAACCGGGAGGGAACGCTGGCCGTCGGGGATCGCAGAAGGGCGGCCGTGACATGTGATCGAGTCCCGTGCGACTGCAGAACGGCCGCGTCTAAAAACAACAAACGCCTCTGCCCTCGGCTCTGAGGTTGTGGCCGAACACACACCCAGGGCAAGAAAGCCTGCCCGCATGAATGGCCGACCGGACGCGGCGAAGGTGGGGCGGGGGGGGGGGGGGGCGGGCGGCGCGACACTGGGCCTGGAGCCGGAGCGCCAGGGCAAAGGGGCCGGGCGAAATGTCTGCCGGGGGCGGCCCAGGAGCGTGCCTCTTCGGCCGGCGCCATGAACCATCCTGGCTCCCCACCGGAGGGGGGAGGAGAATGCAGCGACACCCCCCTTCTCCCGTCCCTCTCGTCTCCCTGTTGCTTTCCTCCGCTTGCCTGCTTGCTTGTCCCCTCCCCTCGCCTCCTGTCCTCCTCCTCCTCCTCCTCCTCCTCCTCCCCCTCGCTCATCTGCCCTCCCTCGGCCGGCTGGCCCTCTCGACGACGGCGCCCCCCTTTTCCCCTCCCTCTTCCCTTCGTCTCGCGCACCTTCACAAGCTGAGTGGATCCCCTCCCCTCTGGCTGGCTGCTCCGCGTTCCCCTCCCTCTCGCCAAAGATGAACCACCTGTTCAATGATCCGATCGGCATCTCCTCCCTGAGACAGGAATGCTTCCATGCCATTGTCAAGCCCCTGTCGGAGGTGCGCAGCATGCTTCCTTCCTTCCCCCTCGCCGCTCTCCTCCGCCCGACTATTGGCATCCGGTCCTGCCGGTGGCTGACACGCGCGCGCACGCGCGCACCCCCCTGTCCCCTGTCCCTCCTGCTGCATCCGGGTGTGCCAGCTCTCCGGCAAGAAGCTCCTCGTGCTGGACAAGTACCTGATGAATGCCATCAACCTGCTGGTTCCCTTCCGGAAGCTCGTCGAGCTGCATGTGACCAACTGCTACATGCTAGACGCCTCGACCGCCTCGTTGGATATGGCCATGCAGCGTCTGGCCAATGACGAGCTTAACATTCTCTTCCTCTGCCGGCCGGACCTGGGCATGGTCAAGCACATTGTTGGTACAGTCTCCTCGCTCCCTCTCTCGCTGCTTGGCCCTCCACCGTGCCCATCACCTCTCCCCCTCGGGCATGTCCCCGATGTGTGCCTCACCTGGATTCGACTTCTGGCCACTGACCTGTGCGCGGCTTTGCCTCCGGTCCCCCCCCCCCCTCTTCCTGCTCCTCCCGCGAAGACTATATCCGTGCCGATCAGCAGGCCGTGCAGGACGCCTCGGCGCGGCTCAGCCCGACCGTCGCCTCGGCGCTGATGAACCGCAGCTACACCGTCTTTTTCCTCCCTCGGGTGGAGAGCCTCTGCCAGAAGATGCTCCTCACCGAGCTGTCTCCTCGTGCGTGCCTTCAAGTGCTTTCTCTCTCTCTCTCTCCCTCTCAGACACACATGCCTACACATCATCCTGGACCCGTGCGCCCGGTGCCCCGATCTGACCGTGCCCTCCGCATGTAGCTCCCATGATCCGCAACATCGACATTCCGATGTTCCCCTTCGACGTGGATCTCCTCAGCATGCATATGCCCGGGTCCTTCCGCGATATGGCCCTGGTGCGCTCCACCTCCCTCCTGCCTCCCTCTCCCTCTCTCACTGTCCGAAGCGCACACGCATGCATCGACAAGCATGCATGTCGGTATTTGCGCACGTCCACATGCACACCTATCTCTGCTTACCCCTGGCTAATGGGTCACCCATGTGCTGTCTTGCCCTCACACCCTCCCTCTCATGATCTCCCCCCCCCCCTCTCTCTCTCTATGTGCCATGTCACTTGGCCGCCCCTCCGACTCGCCGCCAGCATACCGCTCATGAGGTGGTTCACAGCACGGCCATGGCCCTCCTCCGTTTGAAGACCTTCTACGGTCCGATTCCGCGCATTATGGGTGTCGGGCCGCGTGCCCTCGAGTGCGCCAGCCTGGTTCGGCGGATTGCCACCGACTCCGATCTGCTTGCCTCCTCCTCCGGCCTGGCCGGTGCCGGGAAGATCGACTGTGCCATCATCATCGATCGCATGGTGGTGCGTGCGACTGGCCGACCACCGTTCTGGCTGCTGCTGGATCTTTGCCCGCCACCCCCTCCTTCGGTTCCCCCCTCACAACGGCCCTCCGGCGCCGCACCCGCCGCCCTCTAACCCGCCTACCCGCCCACAGGACCCCATCTCGCCCCTGGTGCAGACTCTCACCTTTGAGGGGCTGATTGACCACTTTTTCGGGATTGACGCCAGTGCGACCTCCCTCTGCCCTCTTGCCTCTCCCCACACCGACATGCGCATCCTGGCCCTCGGCTCTAACCATGATCCCTGGGTCACCGCCGCCTCGCTCGCCAGGTCTCCTCCCTTTGAAGCCGGCGGTGTCCGACCAGAAGCTCGCGATGCTGGACAGCTCGGACACGCTCTACTCCTCGGTATGTCGCAGGGGAGGAGAACCACGCCCGCCACCAGCCGGACCTGACCCCCTGCTTCCGCCCCTGTCAGATCCGGGACCTTAATCTGGCGGCCGTCGGGCCGGCCCTCCACCGGAGCGCCACGCGCATCGACCAGCAGTACGATCGCCGGCATGCGGCCAAGACCATCTCCCAGATCCGGGAATTCGTCTCGGACCTGGGCGGCCTGCAAAAGGAACACCAGTCTCTCGGTGTCTGTGCGTCCAGTGGGCCTTCTCTCCCGCGGCTGCCGGCCATTTTCCCGCTCTCTCGCCTGACCTCCCCTCCTCCCACCCTGTGACAGACACCAATCTGGCCGAGCACCTGATGGCGGCCACACGCGACTCGGACTTCCTTCGTGCTCTGCAAACGGAGCAGGGTGCGTCTCGGGCTCGGGCTTCCGCTCCTCCCGGGGTGTCGGCGAGTCCGCTCCGCCCCCTCCTCCCCCCCCCCCCCCCCCGGCTGCTCATCCCTCTCGCCTGATCTGACACCTTGGCCATCCCGTTCGGCCTCCCCCCGGTTCGCTTGCGGGGAATGAGCAGGCCTTCTCAGCCAGTCCGAGGACCTGGAGCAAACGCTTGAGCTACTGGAGGAGCTGATCTTCCGGCAGTCCGACGCCCTGCCCCTGAACCGGACCAACCCTCTGAGTGGGGCCGGATCGCACGCGTCCAAGCTGGGCCCCATGTCCGGGACCAGCATCGCCGCCACCACCGGCATTGGCTCGAAGGTGGTGCCGGCGGAGCGCGTGCTCCGGCTGATGAGTCTCCTGTCGCTGACACAGGGCGGCCTCAAGCCGAAGGTGTACAAGACCCTGCGGGCGCACCTGGTCGGGGTGCGTGGCTTCTCGCCCTCTGTCCTGTCCTCCTGTCGGGGCCATGCGCCGGCCGTTGCCGATGCGCGCCGGCCCGGTCCGCAGCCTCGCCCTCCTGTCCGCATGCCTACTCACACACACACACACACCCGCATCCAGTCGTATGGCTACGAAATCATCTACACCCTGCTGAACTTCGAACGCGCCGGGCTGATCTTCTGCCAGGGAGTGACGATGCCGGCACTGCCGTATGGCCCCGGCCCGGCGGCCGGGGCCGGGCCCTCCCTGGGGCCTGGGTCCTTCCTTTCCGGGGCCGGGGCCGGGGCTTCCGCCGGGCCCGGGCTCAGCACCCCCAGCGCGTACCCCGGGCTGCGGAAGCACTTCCATCTGTTCGACGAGGACGTCAAGGAGACCGCCCCGGAGGACATCTCCTACGTTCACTCCGGGTATGCCCCGCTGTCGGTGCGCCTGGTGGAGCGGATGCTGGCCGCGGCGTATGGGTCGGAGCGCGGGTCGACCGCCTCCACGGCGGCCGGCATGCTGTCCGCCTCGCTGGGGTCCACTTTCGGGGCCGGGCTAAACCTGAACCTGGGGCTCGGGGCCGCGGTGTCGGCCGTGTCAACCGGCGGGGCCGGGGCCGGGGCCGGTCCGGGCGCCGGGACCCCGGTCGACCCGGAGGCGGCCATCGCCGATCGGCCGGCCTGGCGCGCCATCGACGAGGCCCTCCGCGCGGCCGGCCTGCCCGGGCCGCTGTTCGACATGTCGCTCGATGCGGCGGTGGTCACGGGCACCACCGGCGGGCCGGGCCTGCCGCCCGGCGCCGAGCCGGCCCAGCCGAAGACCGTGCTGGTGGTCTACCTCGGCGGGTGCACCTGGTCCGAGGTGGCGGCCCTGCGCTTCCTGACGGGGTACTCCTCGGTGGCCATGCAGAACCCGGCCGGTCGCGCCGGGTCGTCGGTGTCCCCGACGCGCGACTACATCACCCTGACGACGCAGCTGCTGGCCGGCCGGGACGTGACGTCGCTGCTGTCGGAGTCGCTGGCGCCTCGGGTCGAGTGAGGAGAGACCGGCCGGCTCGGCCGGCACGCGGGCGAGGGGCCCTCCTGTTCTGCAAACACCCACACCATCATTCGCCTCGCCTGTGTGCTGCCTCCCAGCTTTCCCGGGGGGGTCCCGCCCGCCCCCTCCCCTGTGCTGGGTGCATCCTGCTTCGTCCTGTCCCCGAGAGGGGGCGCAGGTCCAGGCGAGGGCCCAAAATACACATCAACATCCACCTCCCATCGTGCGCGCATCTCTCCTGTTGCCTCTCCCTCCCCCGCGGTGTTGGCCGTCCGGCAGATGATCAGACACCGCCGGGCGTGCCGCGGACGGGCGGTTTCCTGCCCCTCACCGCCGCTGCCCGGGCGGCGAGGACCGGCTCGACCGACCCCGGCGCAAGAAAAGCGCGGCCCGCTGCGCGCACTCTCTCCGCGCGGCGAGGAAAAAAAAACGAAGAGAAGAAAGGAATGGCCTCCATATGGTTATTCTCAGGTTCACTGCCCGCTAGTGGCTCCCGAAAGAACATGAAATATACGGAGTAGGGGCCGCCCCAGCCAAAGGCAATCCTCACCCCGAAGTGAAGTATTACTTCGAGGGGATCAGCCAACGGCCGTCGCGGGGCGCCCCCTGTTGCTATGTCTCCCTATGGCGAGGCTCCGTGATGAGGACACGACCCTTCGGCAGGCAAGACGGCGCACTTAAGCCCCGCGACTTGCCCGCCTCCTTGGGGGTTAGCCCTCGGGGGTCTGCTCGGAACCCGACTGGCACTCGTCAAGGCCAACAGGAGGGCGGACCCGGACGCACCCCGGGGCGCAAGGCACCGGGGGCGACCGAGCCCAACCACACCACCCGGCGCATCGGCTTATGAAGCGCCGCGCTGGCAATGGTCCGCTCGCGGAAAACACAACTCTCGCCCTCAGAAAAAGCGTGATCACAAGTGCCGCTGGAACCCGATGTGCGTTCGTTGGCACTCGCCGTCATGCGTTGGCCTCGTGCCCGGGCCCAGGGGGAAACACCCGCCCGGCGGAGGCAGGAATGGGAGCATGCGGCGGATGGAACGCCCCAGGACGTGGCGATGTGCCAGCCGACGGAAAAAAAAAGAAAAAGAAAAAAGCAACAAGAGATGACAAGGGGAGGAGAGGGCATGTGGGGTGCGGGGAGTCTATTGGCATTTTTACCTCCCCCGGAGGCGGCCCGGGAGGACAGGGCTGGGGGAGGGCAGTCGGGCCCCAGGGCATACATACATGTATGGGGCGGGGAGGGAAGGGAAGGGGACACGAAGCGAGGGAGAGGAGGACATCTGCTGGACGGCGCCGGCCGGCACGCGGGCCTCCCCCGCCCCCTCTGGGTCCGGGGGAGGAGGTGCTGTGCCCGGCCAACCGGTCGAGGCGCGCACGCGGGTCTATCAGAGGGATGCCGCGGCCGAGCACATGCGATCCCGGTCGGGAGAGGCGAGCGCAGGGGCAGAGAAGGACACACAAGCGCCTCGGCGGTGGCGGCGCCGCCGCCGCCGCCGCCGCAGGGCGCAGAGACACGCGCATTCACCTAGTCGCTGTTCGAGGCATGCAGATCCGAGAACATGCGCATGGCGATGGTGTATGTGAAGAGGGTGGCCGCATTGGTGGGGAAGGCTCGGACCAGGGTGGCAGTCAGGCCGCGCCACATGGCCGCCGGCTCGTGGCGGACCAAGTGCTTGGCACATTCGAAGGTGTTTTTGTAGACTACACACGCCCATCGCACCGAGAGGCCGGCGAGGGGAGGAAGGACGGGGACGATCAAGCAAAGCGCGAGGTCAGCGTGTGTGCGTGCGTCTGTGTGCGTGTGTGTGTGTGTGTGACTGGCAGGAAGAGGGGCACTATCGCAGCCACTGGCGCTGGGGGAAGATAAGCAGGCCATCGGGGGGAGGGGAGACACCACAGCCCCGCCCCCCCGCGATGGATACGCACCGAGGCCCTCGGCGCTCTGCATCCGGGTCTTAACCACGTCAATCGGGTAGGTGCTCAGCCAGCCGGCCATGCCGGCCATGCCGCCAGCCAGCAGGAGTTTCCCCCAGCCGAGGTCCCGCACAGAGGCCCCCTCCGGGGTCATGGCCCGGCAGAGGACCGCGTACGCCGCAAAGTAGGCCCCATACGAGGGGGTCTCACGGAGGATGGTGGCCGTGAAGCCGCGCATGCAGCCGGCCAGGCCGCGCGCCCGGTAGATGTCCTGCAAACAGGCCAGCGGGCCGCGGAAGGCCGCCCCCTCGGCCGTGTTGAGCTGGTTCTGTGCCTGGATTTTCCCCAGCTCCAGCGGCGAAGCGATGATCGTGTTGACCAGTCCGGCCACCGAGCCGGCCACGAAGATGTGGCTCACCGGGGCGGCGCTGTCATCGCCCATGGCATAGTTGTCCTGCATCCAGGGGGCGGGGAGGAGGTGAACGGGGGTAAATAAAGGCCCATGCGGACGCGCAATCGGCGCACGTGAAAAAGGCGATGACAAGCGGCCAGCATGGCGCAGCACGAACATTCTCATCGGCCAGCAGGCGCAGGGTGTGGCCGTAGACCCCGAAGAGGATGGCATTGATCAGGCCGACTCCGACCACGGGGGAGCTCATGCCTTGTAGAAGCCACGGAGCTGCGGGTGGGGAGACGCGAGCGGTCAGTGAGCGTGGGGGGGGGGCGGGGGGGGGGGAGAGGAACCGAGGCTGTTGCCACTGCCACCACCCGTCAGTGTGCCTGGCCGAGGCCGGAACTTGGGGCCGGGGGCCCGATGCAGACGCACACCCTCATGTTTGAAGATGTGCGCGAAGCACCCGAGGGTCGACTGGCCCGGGGGGATGCCCGACTGCAGGCGGACTTTAACCGTGTCGGCGGGATAGCCAACGATGATGCCGGAAATGCCTGTCGTGCCGGGGCCGCACCAAGGGAAGCGGGGATGGAGGTGGGGCTGGGGTTAGTCGGGGGGGGGGGCAAGCATCAGCGAGCACGGGAGCCGAGAGCGAGGGGCGGAAAAAGGCAAGACACACGCACCACCAAGGACACCCGCGGCAAAATCTGCGACGACAGACACGGTTAGCGCCACAGCACAGCGGCAAGGGGGGTTGGGGGGAGAGAGAGAGAGAGAGAGAGAG